GATATGTACATATATGTGGAAAGGAAATTGTACAGGGTGACTAACACTCCCAAATCGGCCAGTTGCTGCACGATTTCCTCTAACCTTGAAATAAAATTTGCCATATCATCAACTGTACTTTTTTCATAAACAAAAAATTTTTGATACAAATAGTGTATGCCAGTCTCGGATTTTGCTCAAAAACGCCGTGTAATTTTAACCACATTTCATGCGCTGATTTGCAGCTTACAATGTGAAGCGAAGGCTGCACATCAATGCTCGTCAAAATAATACTTTGAGCCTTTAAATCTTTCTTGTCCCATGCTTCCAAAAGCTTCTGATGGACAGAAGTTTCAGCATCACCAGCACCTTCTTTTAAAGCAGGACACGTTTCGCTGCCATCCACAACTTGGAAAACTTCCAAGGATTTTAAAACCACTTTGGTTTGCAATTTCCATAAGGTCCAATCTTTGGCTTCTTTTAATTTAGTTATTTTAACCTCTGTGCTCATTTTTTTATTTATTTTTTTTTCTTCCACACGAAATAAGTATATTACGCTTCAATTTTTGTGTTTTTTACCGCTACTTAACCGTAACCACTGTGATCTCGAGCTGATTTTCAGTCACACACACAGAACAAAAATGAGTCTCTATGCTTGTACCGTCTCAATACTTTTCTCTAGCACACATCGGCTGGGCACATAACCATTTGATACTTGCGCAGCAACAGATGAGCAGAGTAATAATAGACACCAGCGGAGTACAATAATAATATGTGTTGCTTTATTAATTGCTGATAGAGAACTAACTAGATTAACAACAGTGTGGTAATTCATTTGTTTTAGTACTGTATACATTTAGTACAAAATCAGAATCAGATCAATTGCTAAACGTGGAATTTTCAGCATTTTCAGAAGCTTATATTTCGAAAACTATTGAACCTATTTTCTAAATATGTACACTGTTGGAAAGGTGACTGAAGAGCCTTTCATTCGATATATATATCTATGTATATAATGTATACACATTGCGAGAAAAGGCAAACAACGAAATTATGGCATTTTTTTTATAAAAATGTATGTTTTTGTTTTAAAATACGTGATTAACTATATTAACAGATATGTTTATCAGAAAGAGAACAAAAATACCGTTAATTTGATATATGACTTGTAGCAAAAAATTCTTGTGGACATCAAATTTGAATAAATATATATAAAAATATAGTTTTACTAGCAGACCCGGCGAACTTC